CCTACTAGCGATGGCCTCCAACCTACTAGCAATGGCCTCCAGCCTACTAGCGCGCCTCCAACCTAAGAGTGATGGCCTCCAGCTTACGAGCGATGGCCTCCAACCTACTAGCAATGGCGGCCCCCAACCTACTAGCAATGGCGCCCTCCAACCTACTAGCAATGGTGGCCTCCAACCTACTAGCAATGGCGGCCTCCGACCTACTAGCGATTGTTTCCAACCTAATAGCGATGGCCTCCAACCTACGAGCGATGGCCTCCAACCTATATAATAGCGATGGCCTCCGACCCACCAGCGACGGCCTCCAACCTACTAGCAATGGCGGCCTCCAACCCTTCCAGCGATGGCCTCCAACCTACGAGCGATGGCCTCCAGCCTACTAGCAACGGCCTCCAACTTAGTAGCGATGGCCTCCAACCTACTAGCGATGGCCTCCAATGAACACATGGCTGTCCTTTATGAACACTTTGTCTACAGGAATAGACAGGGTACCTTTGGCCATGCCCCACTAGGTAATACTGTTGTGTTGTGGAAGTAGAGCTTGACCAAATTTCGAGATTCTCCTGGAACTCATCCAATCACAACATGTTCTATTCTCCCCCAGCACAGGTCAACCTCACTGTCACTGGACCCGGCGATACATCACAGATTTGGCATTTTTCTGGATTGCGGTGTCCGCCAGAGCTGTTTTTTCTCATGTCCGTCGATGTGCCGTGAGCATTTTGGAGGCCAGAGGGTGGAGAAGACTTGGGGAGAATCCGATGTCTTTGTGTTTGTCCTATGAGCGTGCTACTTTGCGTTTGTATTTTTGCCTTTGCTATTGTCTTTGTGTCTGGCTATTTTGTGGAGCGCAGCTACACAAGGACAGTAGCTCAGTGGAGTGCTGTTTGGGGCTTCAAGTAGAGTCTGGTAGAGTTCCTGAAGTTGAATGAAGTTGACCACTAACGAACTCAGATCTTCTCACCTCATGTCTCCAGGATCAAAAGAGGGTTGGGAGTCACACCAACTTGATCATCTTGATCGACAAGAGACGCCAACCAGACGTTAGATAACAACTTAGCAAGACATTAGACAACAACATCCGACATCAGGCAGGCAATTCCAGACAGCAGACTGAGGCAATGCCAGCCCTGCAGGACCGTTATAGCAATGACTGGGCAATATCATTGAAAAACGATGATCCTGCGGTTGTAGGGAAAGTTCACAATCACTTGCTGCAAGTGATTGAGACCGAGAAGAGAACTGTGGATGAGGTGAAGCTTATAAAGAACTTGAACCAGATCCATCTCCGGACGAGGCGACTGGTGTCCTTCAGCGCGATCTCAGACTGGGTCACACGACGAATGGACGAATGGCCAACTTCAAAGGCGGCAAGCGCAAGCAGTCAGAAGGCGCCAAGGCCAAGTTCTGGTCTTTGCAAGTGCCCGGCTCGGAAGCATCAGTTTCAGAAGCTGCGCCTGGTGTGCCTGAGCCTGACTCTCGAGCGATTTCGCAGAAGGCCTTGATGCTCTTTACGGCACCACACCGGCTGCCAAGTGCTGGGAGCAGTTCTTGGAGAGGGAACATATGGCTGTGTTTGCCGGGCTACGTGGCGACAGATGCCTGTGGCAGTGAAGACCATGTGTCTTGGCTCTTTCCCTAACTGTGTGCTTTTTTTTCCGCACCATGAAAGGCAGAGCGTAGAGCGTTCATCATTATACTCAGGAGTGCCTCGAATCCGGAATATTGCCCCCAACTCACAGATGCCCATGAGAACGATTCAGTTTGTGTCTTTAAAGAAACCTTTTTTAAACATGCCCTGGGGGCCGCTGCATGTGCAGCCCAGGAAGCGCAAGAAGGACGTTGCAGCTATCTGCGCAGAGGTGGACATTCTGTCTTTGCGCGGCCCGATCTCCACACATTGTTCAGCTTTTGGATGTTCATCAGAAAGGCTTGGTCTTTGAGTTGGGGGAAGCTCTGCCGACCATGGTCACGCCTGTCCAGCTGAAGGTGATCATGGAGCACTGCTGTCGAGGTGCGAGGCTCAACAGTCGCACGCAGGCTCATTTGTCATTCCACATGCAGGACAAGGGTTCCCAAACACGTCCCCCAATGAATACAAGCGAGAAAACCAGATGAGCAAGGAAGATCACTAAATTCAATGTGTCCGCTTCCCCGGTTTCCGGGCCCACTGGCAACAAGGCACTGAACAAGCCTTTTTCAACCGTTTTGATGATGACTTGGGCTGCCGTTTGGGAAGGCGGCGGCAGTCAGCTTTGTTTTCAACTGTTACAGTTTTCTTGAGCCAAGGCAGGGGCACAAAATCTCTCGAAGCAAATTTCAAGCTATTGCCAGGCTGATTCGACGCAGCCCATTGTTTTTGCTCAGGCATCCTGTTCTTTCAATTTCGTGGTTTCTTTTGCCATGGCGCTGAGATACTTCTTAGCCATCCCGGTTAAAGCCTGGCAGGAAATGAAGGCTGACTATGAGAGACAGATTCCAGTTCGCATGAAGAGGCCTGTCTTTTCTGCAGACCCAGAGTCGGCAGCGTTGGCTCCTCGGCCGCTTACATCACGCATGGTTACTATTTTAAATACCCCTTCAAAATTTCAACATGCTTCTTACTCCCGAACAACAAATATTGAACTTCCCACTCACTCTTTTTCACTCCTACATAGTTGGATGTAGGATGTTTCAGCTGCAGGTCTGCGCCTCTGATTTTAACTCATGGGGCTGAAACGGGCCAGACGCAGGCGAGCATGTGCAATCGAGCGCCTCAACTGGGGCTTTCCGTGTCAATGCAGCGCAAACGCCAGCCACGGAAGCTTGCGGCCGAGCTGTACACAGAGAGCTTGGTTATGCTTTCCGTTTCTCTGTCGAGAGCGGGGCAAAGCAGGGGCACAAACTACGGATGCTGAATGACACCTTTCAGCTGCATGAATGTCACTGCGGCCCCGACATGGAAGGGGAGGCCCAGCTAGGTCTGCTGGAGATTTCAATTTGCACCTGCGAGTGGTGGCCGGCTACATTGCAAGTGCCCTGGCCCGTCTTTGTATAGGTTGATACTCCTGTATTTTACTATATGTACGTGTACATACATGCGTGTTCAATTTTACAAATACTGCGCACATATCTACCATATATCTGTACAAATATGTATGCTGACCCTTCACACGCACGCATCTGTTTGCACACTAGCAAGCGGAAAGTTTCGCCAAGTGATGGCTCAACATTAGGTGGGTTTTCCACTCCTGATGCTTAGGCATTGGTTCCTTGCAACAGCATATTTTCATACATGGTTTGTTGAAAACTGTTTGCGCATTCTTATTGCACTCGTTGGCTGACGCGGCAAAATTTGGCCGAAGCGAACGCGAAAAGAGGGTGAGCGCCTAAGGTGGCATCCACAGGAGAGACGGTCCTGAAGAGCACGCAGTCCAGTGAGGAGACGGCGTCTTGGACACTCTACATGCTAGTGTCCAAGTCCGAAAGCGACGAGTGTGGCCTTGCTCCTCTCCAGGTTGGACTTTTCATGGCCCCACCGACACCAAGGACCAAACAAGTGTCAACCTCGTGTGTGTTAAACAGCGCGCGCTTGCGGAGCATGTGATTGGCACAGCGCACCACACAGATGACCATATATGCAAAGACCAAACATCTTGCAAAGCAAAAACCGCGTCAGGAGTTGACCTTATAGGAGTGCCTGCCTGGAGCAATTTATAGGGTCATCAAACACAGCAGCCACCAGGTCGAAAGAGCGGCTGTTCTTATCAATTCTCCTTGTTTTGTTTAAGTGTTTTCAAAGTGTGCCCAAATCAGCTCAAGGAATCCGTACTGCTGGGCCCTAAACCCTCCAGCGGGCGCTTTGGAAGAGATTCCACACCCTGCGCTGTGATCAGGCGCGGCGTGAGAAAGAGGGTCGCGTAAAGATGCATGATGAAGCTCTTGTTTTTTTAGAGGGCCTTGAGGTCTGGTTTTTGCAACTATTGACCGTCTCTCCAAGACCAGATGTGTCATTCATGTTTTGCTTGATGTGTTGCACCCCACCAACTAGGATTTCTCACAAGACTGGAACTTCAGTGGACGCCCATTTGGCCGAATGCGTAGCAGCCCAATTGCCTTTGAGGGCCGGGCATTCAGACATGTTTCATTGCTTCGATGGTGTGGGGCAAGATGTCCTCCGGCGCAGAGGAGCTGCTAATGCTGCGGGATCGAACTCGTCCTCGTCTTCCGACGGCAGAGCTGCCGGTAGTGTTCCAACGCCTCTTTCGGTGCTAGACTCTTGGACACAGATTGTGCGAGCGCAGCGCAAACTCTTGCGGCGAGGGCAGGGCGCTTTTTCCTCCACAAGAGCTATCAGCGCCATGGGTTCAGAACCAATCCCTGCGCGCACGGCCCAGGCCCAACCCGCTACATAGTGCAAGCTGGCCAATATTTGCGTCAGTCCTCGAAACATTTTTCGGTGGCTTGTAGGCTGAAGTTGTATTTTTCCATGTTTCTTCCCATACCAGGTTTCAAGAACTAGGCTTGGCGCCAGACATGGCCCATGTATATCCCAGTCTTGTCGGGTGGAGAGTTGTGGCATGGCAGGCAGCACTACAGAGAGCATGTGGGCAACAGGGTGTCACGACCTGCTCCACAGCTTGCCCGGCACATCCCTGTAGCGTGCCTACTTTTTGGAACACAGGTCGATGAGTCGGTGAGTCCAACTTTAACCAAGACAGATGGTGATCCTATTTAGTGGTCATTTTTTATCCCTCCGCTGCCTTCAATTCGGAAGCTTAGCAGGAAAAAGAGACCTTGGCGGAGTTGGCGCGAGAGGTGGCCCGCGCCGCAAAATGGCCAGCCCCTGCGCCCAGCACAACCAAGAGGCGAAGGAAGGTAGAGCGACTTTGTGCTTCACAAGTGCAGCTACGCAGTCCGTGGACGCTTTGGACTCCAATGGTGTGTTTTTTTAAAAGCCGCGCTGCAAGTGCAGAAGAGCGCTGCTGTGTACATGGAGCAAAGGATTGTCAACCAATGAGTGGCTAGCGCATTGGCCGCGCAGATCGAGAGCTCCCTCGGTTTAGAACAGACGATCGGGGTGTTGCAAAATTTAGTCCTTCTACTTGGCTCGCCGCTTGATGGGAAAACATAACATGTGCATCATGTGCTTTTGGTTGCTTCTCCTGCTCCGCCCTTCGCGAGATAGTTTTGCGATTATTGTCGCACCGTTTAAAACTATTTCCGCATTCTTAGCTTCGACCTTCAGCACGCAGGTGTCAGTCGCTTCAGCAAATGGTGGCTCCCCACTTTGTGTTGGCTGCCGGAGGTGATGTTGAAGCAGACCTTCCAAGCCGTGCCTTTGTCTTCTCTAGATCTTGGGAAGGACTTGCGCAACGCGATCGCCGATTGCCGCGAGTTGTGCAAGCGCATGGCTCAGAGTTTTGAAGCCCGAGTGCTTCGCAACACTGCTTGGCTAATTCCATCTAAAGTCCTTGAGGGCATGGACTGCTGCTTTGACTTCCCTGTGTTCCTCGCTGGTAAGGAAGGTGTGGTGACTTATTGCCAGCGTCGCTGGCCTTGGACAATTTCCGTGAAGCACCCGACACACCTCCGACGACAATATGCGAATGTCATGGCGTGTTTCTTCTCCGCATCTCGAAAGCACGCAGACAAGCTTTGGAAAGATAGCAAAATTCAATGGTGCGAGCTCTGGCGGCTGGCGCATATTGACAAAGATTTCTTTTGCCCTGGCACCAGAGACGCCTTTTTCGTTTTCCATGCCTGCGGTTCCATCCTGTCTTCGGAGGCGTTTTGTGAGTCCCTGGCTTCGCAGCTGAAGCGCTTCACCAAGAGTGGAATAGGCGCAGGGCGTGCTGTTGAAAAGTGCCTCCTGAGTGAGAACGAAGGGCAGTGACGAGTGCGCCGTTTCTCCTCAGGGCGTGGGCTGAGACTTCAACCTCGATCCGCTGTGCGTGGGAAAGGCGACGGGAACGGAGTTTCCCTCTTGGCGGAGGGTCTAAGACCATCCATAACACTCTGCAGCGCAGACGAGGTGCCTGGACCTTTGAAAGGATCCGCAGCTTGTCGCGGCTCTCGACCTTCAAAAGAAGGTGTGTGAGGGCTTGGGAGCGAACAGCTTCTAAGAAGCTACAGTAGTACGGCTAGATGGTGTGTGAAAAGGGAAATTCTGGGCGCTGGCTCTTGTCTGTGTCAAAGGCAAACGGAAGGGTAGCGCACACAGAAAGGGTTTGCAAAAACCTTTTCTACTAATATCATGGAAGGCCCGAGACCTTCGTAGAACCCACGGCTAGTCGTGGACAGTTTGTGGAACGGTGGGCCAGTATAGGAGAACTGACTGCCACGAAATCCCAGAAACCTTCGCAGAACTTCGTTGAAGGTATTTTTGATGCACATTCGTACAAGCGATTTTGGCTGACCCCCTTTCTCCACACACCCTCCATTTAGCCTTCCATGAAAGAAACAGTTGCAACACCACGTCACACTGCAACTACCGCGAGTGGAGAAGAGACCAAGTCTTTGAGATATGTCCAGAGAGGGAATGGCTGGGCTACTTCCCAATTGCTGTTGTAGCGTATGAGTGCTAAAACAGGTTCAAGAGCTGTCCATCATCTTTGTTATGTGTTTGTCACGAACTCTATGCGTTTAATATTCATTACATATGTCTTGTGTGTGCATACTTGTATGCGCGCCTTTGCAGACACATCTACACAATATGTTACATATAAGTTTGTATTTTGTTGATGCGTACGGATCATTGTATACACATAGATTTGTGTGGGGAGTCGCCCTCGCTCTTTCTACCAAATTGGTTTTTGGCACGTGGCGAGTGAACACCTTCGCAAGAGAAAACTCCACACCCATTCTGGCTTGATACTTCCTTAAGGCATGATATCTAAGGGTTCTCTCGCGTGCAGCCTCCAGCCGACCAAGGATATGCTCCTGCCAGTGGAAATGAGCGCTCTTTAGAGTGCTTGATGTCAACTTGAAGGAACCTAGGCGCCCTGTCTATTTCCGCAAAACCAAGTCCAAAAGGACACCTATGAACCTACTAGCAATGGTGGCCTCCAACCTACTAGCGATGGCCTCCAACCTGAAAGTCATAGCGATGGCCTCCAACCTAATAGGGATGGCCTTCAACCTACTAGCGATGGCCTCCAGCCTAAAAGCGATGGCCTCCAACCTGATAGCGACCTCCACCCAAGTAGCGATGGCCTCCAACCCTTCTAGCGATGGCGGCCTCCAACCTACTAGCGATGGCGGCCTCCAACCTACTAGCAATGGCCTCCAACCTGAAAGTGATGGCCTTCAACCTACTAGCGATGGCCTCCAACCTACTTGCGATGGCCTCCAACCTACTATAGCAATGGCGGCCTCCAAGCTACTAGCGATGGCCTCTAGCCAGTCCTCCAACCTAATAGGGATGGCCTCCACCCTAAGAGCGATGGCCTCCACCCCAAAAGTGATGGCCTCCAACCTAATCGCGATGACCTCCAACTTAGTAGCGATGAGTGAAATATTGCGTGTGTACAATGTACGTAGATGTCATCGAATCACGTGAGGTGGTGATGCATAGCAGTCGCAGCATATGCGTGCTATGTATCAAGGGTGCCGTTCTTCACCTGGTGATTTTGTTTTTCAAGCAGTCACGATACACGCGACAAGAAAACCCAAACACGCCAAACCTCGTGGCGTTTGCAGGTTTCACGTGGTTTCACATGGTCTCTGGGATCCGGGCCCTCCCTTCAGGCACCAGAGAAAGTGATGAAGAGCTACCTTGAGGACATGCGGCAAGCCGGGTTTTTACTGACTTGTTGAAGGTAGTTGACAATTCTCCCAGGAAGTGCGTATGTTTGTCTGGATGAAAACAAATTGGCGCTCCAGAATGTGAGTTGAAACCATGTGAGGAAAGTACCACCCATCTCCAAATCTTCGGTGCTTTGGATGCTGTGTGACCTCGATTTGCTGAAAAAAACGGTTGGACCATAAGTGGGGTCAAGCACCACGATCCTCTTGATGGAGTTCTGTAGTTTCTTTGCTGTGCATCAAGCGTTGTAAAGAATCGGCAATGGCAGAGAAAGCAAGAGATGACATTAAAGGCTTTTGAATTCAGTTGGAACTTTCACACACGCAGGCTTTGTTTACATAGGACCCGGAGAAAGAGCTCCGGAAGAGCCTTTTCCAAGCTAGTACGGGACCTACTCATCTGACCTTTACGCAGCGCAACTGATGCTGATTAAAAATTGAAGATCTGACAGTCTCAGCAAAAGTGGCGCCCATGGAAGAGCTTGCAATCCCTTGGCAGCCGCTCAACGCACCGCTGCGGGCTGGTTGCTACGCATCTGAGGCTGGGCTACTAGGCATCTCCAACCAACTACTTTGAACTATTGAACTACTTTGGACTTTAGAAACGGTTCTTTTTCCTTTTTTTTATCCTTCTTTTTTTTCCTGGAAGAAACGAACACCATTGAGTTATTTGGCGTCCGACTAACTGTACAATTTATTTCTACTTTCTTTGGAGATCATCCTTACGCAATGGTTTTTGCATTGCATCAAGCTTCGCGTGCTTCCACAGAATAGCTATAGAGGGGCCCACCTCTGACGGATTTCCACTTGCTCCACTCAGAACCAACATGATGGATTTCAAGTGAGCCTTAGGACAGACAGCGCACGATGATCTAGAATCTAGTTGTGACCGTGACAGTGACCTGTCAGTCCAGTTGGCCAGCAATCATCGGTCAGACATTGGACAGTGGGAAGTCTCTAAGTCCTTCAACCTACCAGCGATGGCCTCCAACCTAAGAGCGATGGCCTCCACCCTAGCAGCGAGGGAGTCCTCCCTAGTAGAAATGGTCTCCAACCTGAGCCCCTACTCTTCTTCTTTGCTGACACAATGCTGGCGCCAGCGATAGTTTCTTGGCGGTGTTTGATCATAGTCTTGGTGTCAATCAGTCACTTCGCGCCTCCTCAATGATCCTCCTCCCAATACTTTTAAAACACTAGTCATGTTGTGAAGTATACCTCCCGGCTCTGATGCTTGTCATAATCACGATGTTGGGAAAGTTTGCAACCAACAAATTTAGGATTTAGGTTGATGATGTGTCTTGCCACATTGCTCCGATTTTTAGTCTTGCGTTGACCTTGGGAGGCACGTCTGCCAACTCCTTTGCCAGCGAGATGGCCAGGCCAGAATGTTTTGAATCAAAGACAAGTCAAAGAGGAGTCAAAGGAGCTCCAGCATCTCATGCTCTCAGGCGTCCTGACATGTCCTGAGATGCGAGTTTCAATCGCTTTAGATTTCCTTTCTGAAGCATCGGAGCACAACTCCAGGTTTGTGTAACCTGACAAGACTGCCCCTTCAGCCCCCAAATACGCGCGCAAGACAAAATGTTTATGTCATGTGTGTGTAAGGGGAATGGGGTTGACAGCTACTTGTGCGTTGGTGCTTTTAAGTGGGGGGGAACAAGACCAAAATTGGCGATTTCTTCACACCGCCCGAGAAGGCAGGACAGACGCAGTGATACGCACTGCCAACCTCACGATAGCGACGTTGGCAACGCTGGCAACGCCCTGGGCAAAACGGCGCCGTTTGACGCCGGCACCTTGGAGGCGGTCAAACCGTTCAGTTTTGGCTTTCAGAGCGGTATCAATTCTAGTAGCTATTTGCTCCTAGTAGTAAGGACAGGAGCCCCTAGTAGCGTCCTTGCTCCTAGTGGCGATGCCAGGAGCTCCTAGCAGCGTCCCTGCTCCTAGTAGCTATGCCCAGAGCCCCTAGTAGCTTCTTGTTACTGGTAGCTACTTGCTCCTAGTAGTAAGGCCAGGAGCTCCTAGTATAGTAGCGTCCTTGCTCCTAGTAGCTATGCCCAGAGCCCGAAGTAGCTTCTTGTTACGAGTAGCTACTTGCTCCTGGTAGTAAGGCCAGGAGATCCTAGTTGCGTCCTTGCTCCTAGTAGCTATGCCCAGAGCCCCTAGTAGCTTCTTGTTACTAGTAGCTACCTGCTCCTAGTAGAAAGGCCAGGAGCTCCGAGTAGCGTCCTTGCTCCCAGTAGCTATGCCCAGAGCCCCCAGTAGCTTCTTGTTACTAGTAGTTACTTGCTCCTAGTAGTAAGGCCAGGAGCTCCTAGTAGCGTCCTTGCTCCTAGTAGCCATGCCCAGAGCCCCTAGTCAAAGGAAATTTGGTGTACGAAACTTGCGTGTTACGGCCATTCAAGAACTGTTCACACAGCACTCATCCTACACCACTCATCAATACACCACTCGTCATACTCATCATACACCACTCATCAGACACCACTCATCAGACATCACTCATCATGCACCACTCATCAGACACCCCTCATCATACACCACTCATTAGACACCACTCATCCTACACCACTCTTCATACACTCATTAGACACCCCTCATCATACACCACTCATCACACACCCATCATACACCATACACCACTCATCATACACCACTCATCAGACGCCACTCATCAGACACCACTCATCATATACACCACTCATCATACACCACTCATTAGACACCACTCATCATACATCATAGACCACTCATTAGACACCACTCATCCTACACCACTCATCAATACACCACTCATCATACACTCACTAGACACCACTCATCATACACCACTCATCCTACACCACTCATCAATACACCACTCATCAGACACCACTCATCATACACCACTCATTAGACACCACTCATCATACACCACTCATCATACACTAGACCTCCATGTGCAGATTTCGTGGCAGGCGCAGCACTTTGTGAACCTC